CACCTAACTACTCTACTCTACTCTACTCTACTCCAGCTTCACATAGGGAAGGCCATATCATTGATCTTTATCTCTACTTCCCTGTATATCAACTCTTTCTCTGTCCAATTATAATCTTTTATCATTCCATCTTTTCTTGTGCCTTTGAACCCCTATGACTATTTTGTGATCTAACCTTCATTCCCTCCTCTCTTCAGTTCTTTCCCAGGCCTTCAACCCAGCCAAGTATGTACTCTCTTCTTTTCCCTATCTTGACCCATGATGAACCAGATGAACTTTACACTATTCTTTACTACTGAATTTCTTGTTTCCTTGTTTTATCATAGATGATATTCTTGTATTGCTCCTTTGCTACTATTATGTTGCTGCTGGAGTTAGTGAAAATCATGAAACTGTACTGATTCAGTCCACTGCAAATATATGTTATCTAATTTCTACTAAGCCCTTGCTACAGTGAGGCAATCATTCTACTCCTCCCTAATCTATTCACTATCTCCCTCTATACAGATGCTTTTCTAGACTTTAATTTATCTGTAAGGCTCCCACAACACCCCTTCTTCTCTGCTGAGGATCTCACCTCCTACTTCACTGAAAAAACTTAGAGTTATTTACTAAGAACCCTGCCTTCCATCCTTGTCTTCATCTCAAATCACTCAAATACCTTCCTCCACTATCTTCTACTTCATTCAGCTGAAGAAGTGGCCCTTCTTGCCACGTCATGTCCCTCCCTCAACATTCACCGTTTGTTGAATACACTCCCTTCTTTCCCAGAAGATTAGCTGCAGTATCATTCCCCCCACTTTCATCTTCAAATCTCTCCATATCTACTGGCTCCGTATCTACCTGCTGCCTATAAACACACCTGAATTTCCCATCTTTAAAATAAATAAATAAATAAATAAATAAATAAATAAATGAATGAATGAATGAATGAATGAATGAATGAATGAGTAGATGATCGCTTCATCCTACCATGCCTATTAACTATCATCCTGTCTATATCCATTTTTGCCCAATCAGCTTCAGAAAGCCATCTATACTACTAGGTGCCTACATTTCCTTTTCTATTCTATTCTACGATCTGTCTGTTGACTTTACCACGCACATGAATCTGCTTTCTCTAGCTACCAATGATTTCAATGCCAGATCTAACAGCCTTTTATGAATCCTCATGCTACTTGACCACTCAGAATGATTCATCACTGCTGATCATTTCCTTTTTGGTTCCTCTCTCTTTCCTTGCTTTGGAGCAGAAGGAAAACATGAGCTGAAGTATGAGGAGTCAAGAAGGTAATTGGTAAGTCTAGAGAAGTAAAACAAATTGGTAGAATAAAAGGTTACCAAGAGAAGGAAATAAAGTTGTCTGTTGCTGTCAGTGTATATAAAGATCCAGTCATTTACACTGGCCTCTTTAGACAACTCTCCTTTTTCTTGCTCATTGGAATTTTCCCCTATCCCCCCAATTTGTGGCTTCACATTCAGAACTTTCTCTGCATCCCACCCCACTCCCTTCCCTACCCCAGTTGAATTCCCCAATAACATTGGACCCTAGTCGTCCTTCTAATTCTTTGAAATCAGCTCTCCTAAAATTTAGTACATAGAAAACCAGAATAAAATTTACTCTTCTTAGTTCCACCATGATCTGAAGGATGAAATTATTGTGACAAATGAAGAAATTATTAGCTGCTCTGCTTTTAGAAGATAAAAAGAACTCCAACATATTCCAGGATAATCGCAGTCCACTATCACTACTCTATTGTACCTCTAGTCTTGGGATATATTTCCTAAACTACTCATCTATTTCCTTTTTGCTTATGTGCTATACTTTTGTGGCAATGTCATTCCATATTCTTCATCTGTTAAAATGAATTGAAATGTTCTCCACCATGCTTCCCCATCTGATAGCATCTTTTTGATATTTAATATTACCCTAACATATTTAAGTCAACCCTGGGTCATCTCTAATAAAATCTCAGTGATAAGGATAATGTTAAATTTGCTTACTTGTGTTAGGTTCTCTAGTTCACCTTATTAAATAACCATATTTTGTACATCTGTGCACAGGGGTCTGATGTCAAGGTTTTTTAACACTGGATCTTTTCCTATATTTTGTCACCTGTGAATTTGTGGGAGTCTCAACTGCTTCTTCATACATTATAGCTAATCTCTCTGGAATCTTTCTAGTTTGGTGGAACAGGCTTTAAGTAGATTTCTCATTTCCTTTTTAGCTCAAAGCTCTTTTAATTAGAGCTGCAAAAATCTGGAAAAAATACACTCTATTCTGTTTTAAATGTACTCCATTACTTGCCAGAAATCTATCATTCCTACATTTTAAGGCAATGGTACAGAAATCCAATTCCCATTCTCAGCCACTATCTTCTTAACTAGCTGTCTATCTTCCAAATCTGCTTTTATCTTCTGAATCCCTTACCTTCAATAGACAACAGCAATGAAAACATCATCTATGCCCTAATTTACACAACATTTCTTAATCTTTAGTAAGGCTTTCTAGGTTCGTTTTGGCTATATCATTTGTGCCTGTATTAATCACCAGTAAATGTGGGGAACTTCTCTGTCATGCCTTTCATACATACCCTAAGATGGGAAAATTCTCTGTTGTTATAAGCTCCACAATTAGCTGCCACAATAATATTAAATGGATATTACAGTAAGTCACCACTACCAGGGCCAAGTACCTAGATTCCTCCTCTGCAGAAACCCCAAATTTGTTTCTTAGTTCCAAGTCAGAAGTGATTCTTCATCCCTTTCTCCTGTGTGTCACATACTTCAATACTCAAACTTCTTGATGTAGATCAGTCTCATTTGAAAAGCACTTCTGATTATTTCAAGCCATAGTCTGCTTTTTCATCATAAGCAATGCTGCTTCAGATGCTTTTTTCTTTCTTTTCACATTGAAATCTGTCATTAAGGAACAATTCATTGTCCGAGATAACATGGAGAGCAGAATGTCTTTCTCAAGCCCTTTGAGCTTCTCTTGAGCTCCTTGAGAGCAGGGACTGGTTTTTGTCTCAAGTGTTTTGCACAGTAGCTAATCCATAGCAAATATTTTAGATTAGCTAATATCTGTATGTAGCCAATCCATAGTATGTGGTAATAAATAATAAATGATAGTTAACTAACTGGCCTACGCTTTTGAGCAGAGAAGCAGACCCTTAGCTACTGCAGAAATAAAAAATATAATACATGTACGTACACAAATACATACAAACACCAATACACATACACAATCTAGATTGACTGCAAAATTTTCCTTGCTCTCCACACTTGGAAGTGAGATCTTGGATCATATCTTCCTTGTCAATGGCAACTCAGAAGAACTTTTGTGGCAGAATTCCTGTAAAGGACTTAAAACTCACCAATTATCATTTGCCTCACCTCTTCTGCTACTGACAGACTCTAAATCCATACTGACAGCAACAACTGTCTTCATTTCCCTGCTCTCACTCACCTGGTGTTGCACTAATTCTTGCCCCACCTTCTTGAGTACTTTTGGCCCCCTTATGCTCAAGTCTTCCTCTTGCTCCTTCACTTATCCCTCAGATCTTTCTCTTTGGCTTGAACCTTTCCCCTGAAATCCTCTGGAATTATATCTCCTCAAATTAATTTTTTGTCCCTTTTCACAACTCCAAAGCCTTCCAAATCATTGTCAACAATTCCTTCTCCTTTACCTCCCAGTCTTGACATTCCTTCTACCTTCTTCTTCCAGTCAGAAATGTTTGGTTTCAAAATATATAATTAGCTTTATAAAATTGCACTTAAAACTGATTTTCATAAAATAATTCATGAAGAAGTCTATATTTCTCCTCCACAAAGGACATATGTGTTGCAGGTGGTCATTGGGTAATTTTAAAAATTTTAGTCATTCAAAATATAAAAACTGTAGGAAAAAAGGGGTTTAGAAGCAGGAGATTATGATGTTATAAACTAAGATAAGTAAAAATTGCTAAATCCCAAAAGAAAGCTTTTTTTCTTTTTTAATATTCAGTTCTATGAAATCTGTTATTACTAAGTTTAAAAAAATTTTGGTATATCATTTACTACAATAAACAATCATATTGTTTCTCAAATAGCATGTTAAAAACTCACTTTAAATGGTATTATGAACACTTAGAAATCCAAAATCCTGATATCTATATCCATAATATGAAAAAAAGCAGCCTCATTTAAAATGCACTTCTGATTATTTCAAGCCATATTCTGATTTGCCATGACCAGAATCTTTAAAGTCAAATGAGTACTTTAATAATAACTGCAGACAGATTAAGACACTGAGTCATGTTAAAATGCTAATTGATTTTTAGAATCAAGATCATGGCTTGCTGAAAGGGAATTCTCTTGAGAAGCTCTATTTTCTATAAATGCCAAATGCAACAATAGCATATCCCTTCCCTCCACCTCCCTCCCCACCAAAACATATAGCAGACTGAACTAAAAAGCCTATTTCTGAATCTAATATCTTGCCTGAAAGACTGGTAGTGTTATGAGAACTGATGGCTGTAAGAGCTTTGGAAAACCCCACACACTCCATGGAGAACACTACTACTTGGTGTGGACTAGGCATAGAAAAGTATCTTCCTGCCAAAAGAGAAAAGAAAGTCTGTACTTGCAGTAGTGGAAGATAAGGCCAATATTTACAGTTTATGAAATTACTTAAAACATTTTTGATAAACGGTGAGGAAATCATATTTTCACATTCTTAATCCTAAAAGAGCTTAAACACATTACTGGCAGTACAAGCTTGGGGACTGAAAATAGCACAAGAAGTCTTCACTTAATAAGAAATATTCTCTCCACTTCAAAACCAATTTGTCCCCTTGAATGAAAAGAATTTGCTTTAGAGCAAATTCGAAACAGTGACTAAATCTAAGTCACATGGACTTAATGATTTAATACTTTTATCTTTAAAAAGTAATCAGAATAATCCACACTTTTTTAAAATTAGGAAGAATCTCTCAGTATTAAAGAAATTAAAAACTAACCAGTTACAGCTTTTGATGATGTTTGTTCTTTGCTGGGAATATGTGCTCCTCCACCAAATACAGCAGACCACATTTTTTCATTTAGAGGATGGGCCACAATCCGAAATAGCACATTACTAGAATGTGTTGCCAGACCATGGATGAAGAGACTAAGATAAACTGCTGTGAGAATTTCACAAAGCAAAACTGTAAGTCCCGACTGAGCTTCCTCCCCAGCAGAATTCAAAAGGCGAATAAGAGCAGTAATTCCTGCAACAACAACAAAAAGAACAATGTACTATGAAGTTTTAAAAATAAGAATAATCTCTTATGCTGTTTTCAGTCAAATGTCAAAGAACTTAAGCTAATTCTCATCAATGAAGAAAATCACTCCAAGCAAAATACAATCTCAGCTAGATCAATCTTACATTATATATATTAGGATACTTCAAACACAGAGAGGAAAAAAAAAGGACCCAAGTGTTATTATGAAAATGAATTTAGAAGATATTAACAATTAGGGAATGGTGCTACCAAGAAAACTGAATTACTACTATAAAAATGGTAAAATTCAAATACTAAATTGCTGACTGCTACATTTTGACCTATTAAGGAAAAAACTAATGTTTAAATGATTGTATAATTTTTATTATCTGTACAGTTATACTATTTAATGATGACCATTTTTTATTTGATAAACCTTTTTTTGGGCCAAAAACCAGGCACTTAATATGAGATTTTAAAAAGTTTAAGAATTTTAGGTGATTATAATAAGCTTGGCCCAGAAGACGAGAAAATATGCCTTCATTACAAAGGTGCGAGACTATAGTATAGAACATATAAGTGACATGAAAAAAAAAGACAGTAATAAGTTTTTTTTAATGCTCAAAAGATTGAATAGATTACCAAACATCTAAAATAAGTAACTTGTACCTGGCCATTGAGCTGGAGATGTATTGGGAGTTATTGTTTCATCTAAGCTTGTTTTCAAGCAGTGCTGGTGAGGAAATAGCAATGTCTGGTATACCATTCCAGTAAACTGATTTGTTTGCAATGAACTATGGAAAAGACATAATATTTGTAGTTATTATTATTCTTAGTGTCCAATGCAATATTTTCCTGACTTTAGTTTTCATATCCAGAATGGCTTTCAATTAGAGATGTAGTTTTAGTTAAACTTTGATGTTACATTTTGTTATTTTGCTACAAAGTTATCTTTGTTTCAGTCATGTAAATTTTATTTATTTTGTTGTTTTTGAGGTTGGGTCTCCTATCTTGCCCAGATTAGAAGTGAAATAGCCACTCACAGGCCCAATCCCTCCTTAATCAGTCTGTTGACTACCCCTCTCTCCCAAGGGCCATATTGATGTCAAACTTGGTATAGACTTCTGATTAGCTTTAGCCTTATGGTAGGTAACTGTGAACTTGAGTATCTAGTTTGTTTAAATCTAATGTTGCCAAATTGTGCTTTTAATTTTGGCTATCAAATATCTATTTTCTAGTACAGAAACCTAAGCACCAAGGCAAAGGTCTTTGCCATCATCTAAAAACATAGAATGAATGACCTCAAACTTAAAACAAAAACACAACTAAAGTGACAAGATCTATATAGATGCCAAGTATCCACTGTATTCATTAGCCTAATTTTTCTTTTTTTCAGTCTGACAGAATTCAAGTTCATGTGACTTGATGACAAGACTCAAGTTCAATTAATGGGTAAAAAGTTCTGAGAGGGTTACTTATTAAAATATTGCTTTGCTTGGTTTTACATAGGATTTTAAAATGGTACAGTGCAACAAATCTTGGGTAGTAAGAGTATTCTTAAATATTAATAAAAAGATATTTACCTATAGTTATGGCCACCACAAAGACACTGATAAATACAAGCAGAGAGAGATGCTGCTAAAGTATGCATTACATATACCTGAAAAAAAAAAAAAAACCCAAAATATAATTTTTCAAAGTATATAATTAAATAATTTAACCATATGAAAGAATGCTAGAAATCAATAAACAGGAGAAATACAAATCAAAATAACCCTGAAGTTTCACCTATGCTCAGCAAACAGCAAAGATGACAAAGGATCAGAACAGTCAAAGTTGCAGGAGTTGTGGAAAGACAATCACATCATGGATTGTTGGTGGAGCTGTGGAATGGAATTTGGAATTTTTCAAATAAAATTATTAAAATGCTCATACCCACTGACCCAGACATTCTACTGGTAGGTGTATACCTCCAATTCTTATTGACAAAAAGGAAATCATCATATATAATATATATATATATATATATATATATATATACACACACACAAAATATGTGTAGCACTTCTTGTGATAATAGGAAATAAACTCAATGTGAGGCTACCATTTAAAAAAAAATCTGTCTTTTCCAATTAAATATATGTTCATTTTAACAAAAACTACAGTTATTTCTGTAAAAGAGAGCTCATTCAAGAAAAATAAAATAAATCAGTAGCTTCTCATTGATAGAAATAGTAAAGCTTATAGAAAGCTATTGTTTATTATCAATGAAAACCAAATATTGGTAAAAAGCAAAAGACCACTAAATACCAATCAGTAAACATGATGACCATAAAATTATACCCCATATATGATATGTGGGATATGTAGGATAGCCTAGGATTTTCATCAATATTAAACTTTATTTCTATGAGAAATACATACCTAGTTCTGTATAAATTTGTGTTCATATAATGATGACAATCTACATCAGAAAGATATTCTTCATTTGAAACAACATAAAATTAGTTACGAAAAAATAATTATGTTCAGTGCATCTTTTAGATACTAGCAGTTTTATATACATGGGAAAAGAAAGGGCAAAAAGCTACACCAAGTATACTTACTTTATTGTTTTGGGTGTCAGGATGGGGTGGTGAATCAAGGTTTATTATAGCATATAGTATATCATGGGTCAAATTACTAAGGTGCAATAGAGGATTGGCAACTACTGTTTTGGCACTGGCTGTACATGCAAAGAGGAGAGGTATTGAGGTCTGATCTGGCAGAGGCCCAGGAAAAATTGGTTCTAATGTTTCCTAGAAAAAAATAAAGAAAAGAAAAGAAAAGAAAATGAATCAAGCAATTACAGATCTTATAATACTATTTCAGCCTAACTAATGAAGAAATGTAGTGGCTCACTGGAATAAATTTCAGAAAGAATAACATATCAAACAAATAGATTAAATTCTGCATATCTGAACATATAGATTTATCCAGAAATGAACTTACAGGTAATTCAGTTCAACCTCTCACTCAAAGCAAGGATTCTCTCTACAATACCTCTGATACATGAGATTCAGCAACACTTCCACTAATGAAGATCTTAGTATCATACAAGGAAGCTCATTCCACTTTCAAACTAGTGTAATTATTCAAACTTTTTATATATAACTTTAACCAAAATGTGCTTTCTTTTAAATTTCACCTCTTGCCATAATAAATTGCAATTCCTCTGCCATGTGAAAATCTTTTATATATTTGATGAGCTCTAATATATTTCCTTTAAATGTTCTTTTTTAAGGAAGACATCCCTTAGTTCTTCCAACTAACTCTCTTGTGACATGGCTTTGCACAATCTCAGTTACCTTTCTTTAGATAGGCTGGTAGTGAAGTGCTCTGAACTGAACATAATGATACCGGAGTAGTCTGACTAATATACGATAGAATTATGTCCCAGGATCAGGGCAGTATACTTCTTATAAACAACCTTAGCTTTTTTGACATAGTATTAATAACTGATACTGAGCTTGTACAAAGAAAAAAAATTGTTTTTCTTTATTAGTTTTTTTTTTTTTGTTTTTGTTTTTTGCTAGGCAATGGAGTGATTTGCCGAAGGTCACACAGCTAGTAAGTGTCAAGTGCCTGAGGCCAAATATGAACTCAGGTCTTCATGAATCCAGGGCTGGTGCTCTATCTACTGCACCATCTAGCTGCCCCTTTAAGTTTTTCTTTGTTCTCAGTTTGTGCTGGTGCAACTGGATTTTTTAGGCCAAGTGGAAGACTTTAAAATTGCTGTAATTTGTATCTGTTTTGGACTATTTTTCCAGTTTGTCCACATATTTTTGAAACTTGATTCTCTTATCCAACATATTAGCTATTCCTCATGCAACCCTGTCTTCTATGATTTTTTGCAAATCAACAAAAATACTTTATGCTCCAGTTAAAACGAAGTTATCTCTCCAGATCTGGATAGCATTTTCCATCATGAATCCTCTGGAATTGTCTTGGATCACCATATTGCTAAGAAGAGCTAAATCATTCATATTTGATCATCTTATAATGTTGCTATTACTGTGAATGTTCTCCCAGTTTTGCTCACTTCACTTTATATCAGTTACTTTAAGTCTTTCCAGGTTTTTCTGAAATCAGTCTGCTCATCATTTCTTATAGCACAATAGTATTTCATTACATTCATATACAACAACTTATTCAGCCATTCCTCAATTGATTGGCATTCCCTCAATTTCCAATTTTTTGCCACCACAAAAAGAGCTGCTATCAAGTACATATAGGTCCTTTTTGTTTTCTTTTTTTTTTTTATGATCTCTTTGGGATACAGACCTATTAGTGGTATTGCTGGATGAAAGGGTATGTACAGTTTGATTGGGCATAGTTCCAAATTGTCCTCCAGAATGGTTGATCAGTTCACAATTCCACCAATAATGTATTAAGAGTCCCAATTTTCCCACATCCACTCCAAAATTTATCACTTTCCTTTTCTATTATATTAGCCAATAAGATAGGTGTGAGGTGGAATCTCAGAGTTGTTTTAATTTACATTTTTCTAATCAATAGCGATTTAGAGCATTTATTCAAATGAGTATAGATAGCTCTGATTTTTTCATCTGAAAACTGCCTTTTCATATCCTTTGACCCCTTATCAATTGGGGAATGGCTCTTATTCTTATAAATTTGACTCAGTTCTCTATGTATTTGAGAAATGAGGCCTTTATCAGAGACACTTGCTATAAAATTGTTTCATAGTTTTCTGCTTCCTTCTAATTATGGTTGCATTGGTTTTGTTTGTGCAAACCCTTTTAAATTTAGTAATAATCATAATTATGAATTTTACATCTTGTAACGCACTCTATCACTTGGTTTGGTTAAAAATTACTCCCTTCTCTATAGATCTGACAGGTAAACTATTTCTTGCTCTCCTAATTTGCTTAAGGTATCATCCTTTATATCTAGACCCATTTTGACCTTATCTTGGTATATGGTATAAGATGGTGTAAGATCCTTTCTGCCATACTATTTTCTAGTTTTCCCAGCAGTTTTTGTCAAACAGTGAGTTCTTATCCCAGAAGATATAGTTTTTGGGTTTATCAAACACTAGATTACTGTAGTCATTTACTACCGTGTCTTGTGTGCCTAATCCATTCCACTCATTCATCACTCTATTTCTCACTCACTACCAAGTAGTTTTGATAATTGCCACTTTATAATATAGTTTTAGATCTGGCACACCTTCCTTTGCATTTTTTTTTCATTAATTTCCTTGACATTTTTAACCTTTTGTTTTCCAGATGAATTTTGTTATTACTTTTTTTAGCTCTATAAAATAATTTTTGGTAGTCTGATTGGTATGGCACTGAATAAGTAAATTAATTTAGGTAGAATTGTTATTTTTATTATATTGGCTCGGCCCACCCATGAGCAATTGATATTTTTCCAGTGGTTTGATCTCACTTTATTTGTGTGAAAAGTTATAATTATGTTCATATAGTTCCTGGGTTTATCTTGGCAGGTAAACTCCCAAATATTTTTTATTATCTATAGTTATTTTGAATGGAATTTCTCTTGCTATCTCTTGCTGCTGGGCTTTGTTGGTAATATATAGAAATGCTGATGGTTTGTGTAGGTTTGTTTTATATCCTGCAACTTTGCTAAAGTTGTTTATTATTTCAATTAGTTTTTTTAGCTGATTCTCTAGGATTCTATATCATTAATCATCTACAAAGAGTGATAGTATAGACAATTGCCTATTCTAATTCTCTCAATGTCTTTTTCTTCTCTCATTGCTACAGCTAACATTTCTAGTACAATATTGAATAATTGAATACTAGTGGTGATAATGGGCATCCCTGCTTCACCCCTGATCTTAATGGGAAGTCTTCTAGGTTATCCCCATTACAGACAATGCTTGCTGATGGTTTTAAATAGAAACTACTTAACACTTTAAAGAAAGTTCCCTTTATTCCTATGCTCTCTCGTGTTTTTAATAGGAATAGATGCAATATTTGTCAAGAGCTTTTTCTGTATCTATTGAGATAATCATATGATTTCTATTGATTTTGTTATTTATCTGTTCAATTATGCTGCTAGTTTTCCTAATACTGAAGTAGCCCTGCTACTCCAGTTAAAATGGACAACAGCTGTTTCAGTGGTAGATTGGGGAATCAGGTAGTTTACCTAGATTTTACTCAAGAATATGATAAAGCATTTGCGTTATTCTTATGAAAAAGACAGCAGTAAATAGAGCACTGGCCCTGGAGTTAGGAGGACTTGACTTCAAATCTAGCCTCAGACACCTGGGCAAGACACTTAACCCCGACTGCCTCCAAAAGCAAAAAAGAAAGAAAGAAAAAGATGAAGAAATATGGGCCAAATAAATAGTACAATTAAATAGATCTGGAACCGCTTGAATAAACAGACTCAGAGAGTAGTCAATGCTTTGATGGCATTCGTCAACTTAAAAGGAGTCTTCATTGGAGTGTCCCGGGGATATGTACTTCGCATATGTTGTTTAAGATTTTCATCAATAACTTAAATGAAGTCAAAGATGGCATGCTTGTCAGATCTGCAAATGACACAAAGTACCTCCAAAATGATGCCAACAGATTAGAACATTAGGCTGAATTTATTAAGATGAGATTTAAGAGTCTTACATTTAGGTTCAAAAAAATCAATTTCAAATTTAAGATGAGAAGGTATGGCTAGACAAGTTTGTCTGAAAAAGATCAAGGGTTTTTAATGGATTGTAAATTTAATAGCTGCTCTATTAGCTGAAAAAGCCAATGAAAATTTGACTGTGCAAAAAGAATTTAGGTCTGAGTTACACTGTACTCTGACCTGCTCATATTATATCTTAAATACTACGCTCAGTTCTGGGTACCACATTGGTTTCTGCTCACTGGTGATCTTTAATCAAAGGCTAAATGAGCAATTATTGTCTAGCGTTATAGGGAAAATTCTTTTGGGGGTATGAGTTAGACTAGATGGCTTCCTAATTCAGAAAATAATTAATTTTCTTATTTGCCAGTAATCTTCCTTTGCCTCCATCTCCCCTTGTATTATACTTTAACAGATAGAGTATCCTCCCTAGCAGATTGTGTGCTTTATGGGAACAGGGACTAATTTTTTCTAGTTATATCCATACCCCAGCATGTAATAAGCATTTGATAGAATTGTCGTAAAAGACCAAGTCCTGCATAATGCCAGGGAGATCCTCCCTTCAGCCTGATGTTGAGCCATCAGTCAACATATTCGAATATAGTTAGTCATCTAACTACAAATTCACATAAATGTACTAATACCAAGTCCATATTTTATCCATCTCATTCACAGAATATCATATTCCAAGTTCTCTGCTCCTTTCAGCTTTGCTGAAATTTAAAAAGAAAATGCTTTTCAAGGTATTTTTTTAATAAATTGATCTGGTGATTTTCACCAAAAGGAAAAAGAAATTATATTAGTTTGTCACTGGCTATATAGGCATTTCAAAGGATAATTAACAAACATCCAAGATCAAACAGGGCTTCTTCACATCTGCCTACAAACACATCAGAGTCTCCCCAACCTAAACAAACCATGCTTTACTATTCCATCCAGTTAATGTCCCATCATTCTCCTCCTATTCACTTAACACATCATGAAAAAAAGATGACTGTATGTTAGGCCTCTGCTTTCTCATCACTTACTCTTGTTTTGACCATATGCTATTAAGTCTTCAATGCCTTTGATCTCCCCAAATGACTTTCTAATCATCAAATCCAATAGCTTTTTAAATTCTTTCCTCTTCCTCCTTAACTTCTCTGGAGCTTTCGATACTGTTGCCTCTTATTAAACACTCTCTGTCCTTTGGCTCCGGAGTCACCACACTCCCCTGGTTCTCTTACTATTCCTCTAATTATTCCTTCCCAGTCTCTTTCACTGGCTTCTCCATCCTCTTTCTAACCCCTTAATATATTTTCCAAGGGTCTGTCGTTGGTTGTCTTCTCTTCTTTCCCTGACAATCTCATTCCAAGGTTTCAAATACCACCTCCAATCAAATTACTTCCAAATCTATATTCATGTCCAGAACTCCATTGTGGCTACCTGATTATCCCACATATCCAAAACTGAGTTGGTACCTCTTTTCATTAAACCTTATGCCTTTATGACTTCTGTCTATGATTCTACTATTCACCATTGCTCCTATGTCTATCATCACATGATTAGCTTTGATTCTTTTTTCTTCCTCATCCCTGATAGCTAATCAATCCAAAACAGATTCAGTATATTTCATTCCCACAACATCAAATCCCTCACCTGTTTTCTATTCTCACTCTCATCAAACCTAGTACAAGCCCCTCATTTCCATCTACCCAGAATGGTGTAATAGGTTCCTCTCCCCTTTCACACTTTCTGTCCTCACTCTTGACAAGTAACACATCTCTCAAAAGGCTGCTTGTATTAAGCTGGGAGAGTCCCTCTGCTGCTCAAAATTCTCCAGTGGCTCCCTACTGTCTAATGAGTAAAGTTTAAATTTTTATGCCATGTATGCCATTTTATGCCATGTATGCCATTTTATACCACAACTGGTACAAACTGCTTTTCAACCATTGTCTCATTACTTTACTTCACACAGTCTATATTGCAGCTAATGTATACAACTTCCTTATCTCTGGAACATTCTAGAAAAAAAGGAGGGCATTCCTTCTCTTTACCTGTTAAATTCCTATTCATCTTTTAAAGTCCAACACAAATGGCATTTTTTCCACCATGCTGATTGACCTCCATCCCAGTAAATTACCACCTTAATCCTCTTATACATCAAATAACACTTCTTGTTAGAACTTTCTATGTGTACTTCAATATAGTATATAATAGCTATGTTGGTATTTTAGCCTTCTATTAGAACAAGCTCCAAGAAGGTATGTTATATAATCTTCATATCTCCTCAGCACCTAGCAAAGTGTTTTGCATAGACAGAAATTTAAATAGGTCATTAATTTTAATTGTTGCTACTGTGACTGTTGCTTTGGTGTGGAGTGCTGATAAACACTTAAGGCTACTCTTACACTTCCCTGGCATTCACAGTAAGAAATCAATATTCAGTAGATTCTTAGGGTTACTGACACTGAAATGTAATTATTTCACACTGAGTGTTATGATACCTTAGCATGACAGTTAAATTTAAAAAATATGTATTCCTTTATGGCAAAGGGAGAATAAATTCAGCTGTCTTTTATGCATGTTTAGAAAACAGATTAAGGTACATACCTGCTGAGATTCTTGTAAAAGTAGAATCAATTCCATTCTCACAGAGGCAAGGCCACCACCATGAGACCCATGCAGTATACAGTAACTAAGGAACATCCTTAGAAGGGACTGATACTTCAAAAGCCATTGTCGTCTCTTCTGGAAATTATCTCTCAATTGATTTACTTTTGGTTGATCAAATAAATCTTTTGTATTTTCATTTAATATAGCTTCATCCATATTTTCACTAAATACAGACTGTACATCCTCCACATCGGAACAATAGTCACAAGCCTTCTGAAGAGCCACCACCTCTTTTTCCAGCCAGTGGTATAGCTGGTACCTCAATTTCCCACCATCTATTTCATAACCAGTGGATAATGTTCGCAACTCTATTGTAAGAATCTTTAAACATGCTCTAAATTTCAACTGTACAGCAATGACATCTTCTGATGGACTTAATATATCACTTTCATCTGTGCTGAAAGAGTCTGTGTAGCTGGAATTTGTTTCATTTATCTTTTCATCCACTTTTATCTGTGAAGGTTTTAGTTCTTTCATTGAAAGAGGTGTGTCTTCATTTTCCTCATCATTATCACTATCCCACTTTAGGTCTAAAGATTCATCCTTGAAAACAACACTTGGTTGGCTCCAGTCAAATGAAAGAGTAGAATTTGATTGTTTATCTGATAAACCATCTGAAGAAGATCTCAAACCATTTATCACACACTCTGACCAATCAATACTAGATGATTTATAATCCTTTGTATCCAACCTTAATGGAGAAGAAGGAGAACAATCTTTACTGGTATCGGGAAAACTACAAGTTCTGTAAAAAAGTTTTGTCTTCTTGATGACTTTAGGCATTTTTGATAATACCTCTAAAGCCAACATCGGACAACCAGCTTTTAAGTGAGCATGTGCAGTGGTGAAAAACAATCTTCTTTCACATAAATTAATTTTTCCTGCTAATCCATTTTCTCCTGTTAAGCATATTTGTGTGGAAGATGCATCAGAAGAACCAAAATGGCGTCTCAGCAAAAGTGGATGTGTCCTGAGGTAATTGTAGAAATTAAACACTGCAGGGTTACAGGTGAAAGATGCCATGCCTTGATCTGAAAAAAAAAATCAAATTTATCAATACAAAACCCAAAGAAACTTCCTAAATCTATATGTATTTCAGTAGCTGATCTGTGAAAATATGGGTTAAAAACAGTTATAATATAGTTTGCTAATGCAAATCAATACATTTCTGCCCAGTAGTTATATTGGCAGACTGCCAAATCAGCATTACCCATATCACAAACACACCCACACCCACTTCTCTCTCTCTCTCTCTC